TAAAATATCGGCCAACTGACATTTTTACCACGAACATAAATTAAATTAAATAAAATATTTTTATTTTTATTGTTTGGCCGGCAGCCGGCCAAACAATAAAAATAACTATGAGGAAGTTCACCAAAATACTCAACAAAATATTTTTAAATTAATTTGATTTGAATGCCAACTGACATTTTTACCAAATATTTTTAAATTAATATGCAAGCCAATCAAACAAAAATAGGAAATAGTCGATCAACATAATTGCTTGTGCATAAATACAAGTTGAGGTAGGTCATGACAATGTCAAGGCTACTGTCTGCATATGAACACTACATTTGCACACATACACACATATGTATGTATGTGTGCTTTTATAGGCATTCTTCACTTGCATACGCATGCGACAGAAGATGGCAACAGTGTATGAAATTCTCATGCCCATGTAGCAGGCAAAATCTGAAAACGAAAAGCGAAGCTACTGCTCGCAATGCAGCAAAAGAACAAATACATATAAACGTATACATGTTCATATATATGTGCACGCACACATTCAAAGAGCATAAGCGGCACTGATCGACCGTCGCTGTTGACTGCCTCTCTGCGAATGAAATGAAATTCGCTCACAGGGAGCACGAATACGACAGCTCCCAGTCGGGTTAGCCGAAGTGCGACAGCTCCTATTCGGCAAATACCCGAACAGCTATGGGAGCTGTCGCTCATAATTTTGATGGGACGTTTTCGTTGTATGAAATGAAGCATCTATATGTTGTATGGTTAGTGGTAAAACTTTCGAAAGTTGAAACCTCGAAGTTTGAATGCAATAAACAGAATATCTAAATAATAACATCTTATAATTTATTGAGATCAATTGGAACAAATCATAAGCATATGTACATACATACATACTTACCAGAGAACTGCAACGAGTACTACATTTTCGGTCATACTCGGTATGATTATTTCATTTGGGTATAGTGACGAGCAATGACTGGTTGCGAACGAGCACTCAACGAACACTCAGTTCGAATCAAAACTGCAAAAACTCAGGAGTGAGCGGTTGTGACCGAAACTTCTTGAATGAATGCAAGCAATGATTGGTTTTAAACGAATCCTCACCAACCAGTCAGCTCTACTCACAACTATAAAGACTCAGAATGAGGCGGTGACCGAAACGTTTTGCCTGCGTGCAAGAAATGATCGAACGTTGTATTTACAATCATGCCCGCATGACCGAAATGACCACTTATGTACGTATACCTTGAATATTATTATTTGATTTCAGCGTATTTAAGAGTTCAACTCGTTCGACTCAAGCATTCATTTTTTGTGGATTTTGAAAACGCCTATTAAAGAGTTGCCATTTCAGAATTTTTCCGGATAGATCTCTTCTTTTTATACCCTGTACCCGTAGGGTATATTAGATTTGTGCAAAGTATGTAACATGCAGAAGGAAGCATTGTTTTGGTTTTGGATAACGTAATGACGGATCCCAGATAGAAAATTGTTTGTGTTGTGTAGATTAGCTACACCTTGGAGTGTGGATAAACTGTCGATGCAAATGATGTGTTTGCCTTTATGGTACACCGCGTATTTGATGGCTTTTAGGATCCCTACAGCTTCGTCTGTAAAAACGGAATAGTATTCAGGGAGATAGCCATAGGATATAATGGATCCGACTTGGTCAACGACAGCAAAGGTTGTTGCTGTATCTGATGTTGATCCATTGGTGTAGAGTCTTCTTCAGTTTGGGTATTTTCCAGTTTCCCCTGTAAAGAGTTCCCGAAATATAGCTTTTAATGTAGTGGATTTTACGAAGTTATGCAACGCTGTATTAATGATAGTATTGCGTAGTTTCCATGGTGGAGATGGGCTGATTTTGTTCCAACAATGCGATATTTTAATGTCGTGTATAAGCTTGAAAATATTTGGTGGCTATGTTTGGCAGACCCGCTTTCGCTAATATACATTTTGAGGGCGTTGTTGAATAAGCGCCTATGTTCCGTCGTACTGCCGCGTGATACGGCCTTTTGAATGGCCTCTACGTCTGCATAACGCTTTCCTTTCATGGGCAAATGGCTTTTTTCTGAAAAGGTAGAAGTCGCACGGTGCCTTATCAGGTGAATACGGCGAGTGGTTAATGGTTAAAATGTGATTTTTGTTCAAATAATCGGTCACAATCGGCTGGATTCTGAGCAATTTTTGTTCACCAGTCAATTTGTGCGGAACAAACCATGCACACACCTTTCGTAAGCCCAAATGTTCGGTCAAAATGCGGTAAATCGATGTTTTGGAGATGTTCAATTCAATTTCCATCAATTTCAATGATGGTGATTTCGGCTGATTTTTTATGAATTCACGCACAATTTCGATGGAATTTTCGGTGAACACGAATTTTGATTGGCCCACATGTTGATCGTCATATATGTCCTCAAAAAAGTTTTACCAATTTTAAAACAAAATTTAATGTTGGCTCTTTGTTCGGAGCTCATATTCGCACCGATAACACAAACATACTAACACTTAAAACGCAATAACTTCACTTCCAATTGATGAAATGTCATGAAATTTTCACTGAACAATCGATAAAGATAGCAGATTCTAATGCACCAGTCGTCATATATATAGCGCCACCAGGGGGCGCTAGATTCAAAAAGTCCTATTTACTTTGGAACGCACCTTGTATTTTTAAATCGGCGTACATGAGAGGTAATAACTTTTGAAAACAATACATACTTAGTTTAACGAATGTTCCAGGATGTGTGATATTACTTGTATAGAAGTCATTTCTGCGGCTGACATAATACATAATTATCACGATCAGATGTGGGAAGTAGCTGCTGTCTGGAAATAGGTAGTTAGCGATCTTCGAGTGACTACTTGTTTTGGAATGCTTCATTTCGTCGTGTAATCTGCCATTGCCAGTGGTCGGTCTTGTATGGAATCAGCGGTCAAAAATATTTATAATGGAGCTATTGTACTGAAATATCACATAGCTCCCATATAACTGATCGATTCAGAATGAACTCTTAGTACAAATTTTTTTTTTGTTTTGCATCACCTGACCAAATTTTATCCAGATCGCACCCATATATCACATAGCTCCCATACAACCGACCACTTCCTCCACTCCACGAATTTTAATGAAAACTTTCAAGAAATACAGGAGTTATGGAAAATCAGTTGTAGCGGGGGAGTGAGGGTGCGTTGAAAAAACACTCGAACTAGTCTTTTTTAGGAGTTTTGCGAATTTGATTAAGAATATATATACTTTGTGGGGTTTGCCACGACTCCTTCTGTGTGTTACATACACTCGCACAAAACTAGTATACCTTTTGGGTACAGGGTATAACAAGAGAGAACGCTGCAGTCGAGTAAGCCCGACAGTGAAATACCACCGAGACCGAAAAATTAAAAGTTATTGAATTACCTCAGTAAAAGAATTATATGTGACAAACTATTTTTGCTGCGTATTAGGTAACGGCACTTTATTTTTGAGAATTTTGCCTTTAGCATTTGGTTATAAATAATTATATGTGTCTTTACAATTCGCTTGCTGCTCCGCTTCGCTAATTGGTTTTAAAAGGTTTAATTACAAGAATTGTATTCTAAATTTAAACGTGAGTATACATATCTCTGCATATATAAAACAGTTTGTCCTGACTGACTGATTGGTGATCAACGTACAGCCCAAACGGTAAAATATAGGAAGCTGAAATTTGGACTCAAGTATCCTTTCATAGCGTAGGTGCCCACTAAGAAGGGATTTTGGAAAATTCGAGCTCCAAAAGAGGAAAACAGGCTCCAACGTTTGTATGAAAAATCTACAATTTTCACCTGATTAACTTGTATACTCTCAAAAATTCCAAAAAAAAACTGTATACTTGGTTTTTTGAAATTTTTTTTGGGGACTGAAATATGGGAGTTTTCCTGTAAAAAAAATGGGGCACAAAAGAATACCGCGTCAACAGTCCAGCGCCTCCTGGTGGCGCTATCTATATGTCGACTGGTGCATTAGAATCTGCTATCTTTACCGATTGTCCAGTGAGAATTTCATGACATTTCATCGATTGGAAGTGAAGTTATTGCGTTTTAAGTGTCAGTATGTTTGTCGGTGCGAATATGAGCTCCGAACAAAGAGCCAACATTAAATTTTGTTTTAAAATTGGTAAAACTTTTTTGAATACATATATGACGATCAACATGTGGGCCAATCAAAATTCGTGATCACCGAAAATTCCATCGAAATTGTGCGTGAATTCATAAAAAATCAGCCGAAATCACCATCATTGAAATTGATGGAAATGGAATTGAACATCTCCAAAACATCGATTTATTGCATTTTGACCGAACATTTGGGCTTACGAAAGGTGTGTGCACGGTTTGTTCCGCACAAATTGACTGACGACCAAAAATTGCTCAGAATCCAACATTCGAAGGACGTCATTAAAAAACTTACAATACAATACAATACAATATTGTGACTGGTGACGAAACGTGGTGTTTCCAATATGATCCCAAAACGACACGCCAGAGTGCTGAATGGAAGGCACCGGACGAGCCGAAACCCAAAAAATCGCACCGTGCGATTTCTACCTTTTCGGAAAAATGCATTTGCCCATGAAAGGCAAGCGTTATGCAGACGTAGATGCCATTCAAAAGGCTTGCACCGGCATACTGGCGGCCATACCGGCCAACGAGCTAAAACACTCGTTCGACATGGATCGTGCAAAAAGCTGTATTGAAGCAGAAGGAGACTATTTTGAGTAAAATAAATTGATTTTTCCGAAAAAACCATTTGTTCTGTTTTTTTTTTTTAAAGTCCTGTTTACTTTGGAACACGCCTTGTAAATATGTGCACATGTGTAGTTATGTAAGTCAAAGTAATCATGATAGTTATATTCTACTGGGTTGCTCCTAAAAGAAACCTTTCTTGAAATGAGCACATGTTAGAAGAAAAAGCAAAGACTGGCAAGACCGGCTAATTATAAACTAATTTATAATTGTTTTTTCCGTAGGATCAACTTTTTGATGACGACGTTCTAGCAGATGTAAGATCAAGTGATCAAAATATTCGATTAATAGAAACTGAAATAACAAATTCTCGGCTTGATGGGGATGGATTTGGCGACTCATTTGGACGTAAGTACAAACATCACTATTCATATAAAGGTTAATCTAAAACCTCTTAACGTAAAATGTATGGTCTTTAGTCTGTACATGAAATGCACAAGAGTATAATAGGCTTGCGGGGGGTTAAAAATGTAACAGGAAGAAGGAGGTGTGGCAGACCCTACCAAGTCTGTCCGTATGGATCTCAGAGACTACAAGAGCTAAAGACACCAAATTTCCCACAAACCCTAGAGACATCATACCGAGAATATGTGTATTTCGGAATTTCCGTCCCTTTCGCCTCTCCTCCGCAATTAATAATATTCTATAACTCCCGTAATTCATTGAATTTTTATTTTTTACCAAGTTCAGCAAATACATCCAGTTAGTGATTGTACATATGTCCCTCGATTTGGATTAAAGTTATAGCCATTAATGTAATCTCTGCCCAAGCGCTACTCGCAGCTGTTATTGTTGTTGCTGCTTTGACTCAACTTTGTAATGCATACATGCTCACATAAAGACACGCATGTACTAATAGACAAACAAGTAGAGAAGCTAAAGTCGGGTGTCCCGACTTTGAAATACTCTGTACATACAAGTACATATATGTAAAATAATTATGCGTGTATGGGTGTGTTTATGTGTGTTTGGGCAAAGCAGTAACACTACATTAGCTGCGGGCACTGCTTTGTCACATATACATATATGGCTATAACTTCGGCCTATCATTATGAAACTTGGCACACGGACTCATACTTGTAATCACTAGCTGGGGGTATTTTCAATGAAAAATTCCAAGAAATACGGGAATTATGGACAATCACTAATTGTTGGAGAGGGGGGAGAGGGAGGGAAATTCCAAAATATACATTTTTTGCGTATTCACATAAGGCATCTTGGACTAAAATTTGGTGTCCCTTGCTCTTATTGTCTCTGAGATATCGGTGATTCTACGAATGCAAAATCGGGAAATCCTCCATAGGGGGAAGTGGGCGGGAAAATCAAAAAAATAAAACAAACTTGCACAACGAACACACAAGGCATCTTTGTGCAAAATTTGGTGTCCCTATTTCTTATAGACTCAGTTCTATGTGTTCATACGGACAGACAGACAGGGCTCGACTCGTCTCGTCATGCTGATCAAGAATATATATACTTTGTGGGGTCTGCCACGCCTCCTTCTGCCTGTTACATTTTCAACTCCCGCAAACCTAATATACTCTTGTACATTTCATGTACAGAGTATAATAACAAGCTAATTAGCCTGCGTTTAAGCTGTTTACAAGCATCGCAAATCTTCAAGTCAAGCCGGCAGAACTCTTAAAAACCCAAAAAAAAATTAATTAAATTAAATTAAAACAAGATAGAACGCTACAGTCGAGCAAGCCCGACAGTAAAATAGCAGGTACTATCCACAAAAAAGAAAAATATTTAAAACAAAATTAAATTATTAAAAAAATGTAATTAATTTATTAAATTAATTAAGAAAATTTATTTAATACATACATAGAAGACATGTTTATGTACAGTTTTATATTTACATCACGTGTCTATGTGTATTTATATGCGTGTATGTATGTAACACAAAGTTAAACCAAAGCAACAACAACATCAATAGATGCGGGCAGCGCTGCAAGCAGAGCATGGGCAGCGATTTTATTTATGACTATAACTTTCTTCAGAATTGACCTATAATGATGAAACTTGGTATACGGACACACTAACTGGACGTAACTACTAAAACTGATTTCAAAATTCCAAGAATTACGGAAGTTATAAAAAAAACACGAATTGCGGGGGAGTGGGGGGGAGGGGGTGTATCAGTATAAAAAAATAAACTTGACCTGCCTAGGGCTTAGGGGAACCTGGATACCAAGTTTGGTAATTCTAGCTCTTGTACCTTCTGAGATCCTTGCGCTCATACAGCTGACGGACGGACAGACGGACATGGCTAAATCGACTCGGCTTGTCACCCTGATCAAGAATATATATACTTTGTGGGGTCTGCCAAGCCTCCTTCTGTGTGTTACATACATTCGCACAAAACTAGTATAGCCTTTCACCCTTTGGGTACATGCTATAAAAATATTGAACACATGCATACACACTAGACAACTGCATGGCTTCACTCATAAGGTACGTTGAAAAGAATGGAATCGAATTGAATTTAGTTGAGTAAGTGGAGCATTGAAAATGAAATGAATTTGTATGAATATGAGTGCGTGTTGTGTCTGATAGCATACGACATTCATTGAAATGAGTTAGAATAAATGAACCGTAAAATGGAATGAAACAATTGACATATCGGAAAACATTCAATTTATTCGAGTTACTCTACTCTTAGATAAAGGCCGCAATTGAGGAATATAAAGCCTTTGGATATACCATTTTATTTTAAATAAAATAAATACAAATCTCTATATATAAACAACAGTTTGTCCTGACTGACTGACTTACTGATTGGCAGTCAACGCACAGCCCAAACGGTAAAAGCTAGGAAGCTGAAATTTGGACACAAGATCCCTTTTATAGTGAAAGTGAGCACTAAGAAGCGCTTTTGGAAAATACTAGCTCCAAAGGGGGGAAAACGAGCTTTAAAAAATATTAGTTATAGTGGTCATGTTCGTTTAACGAAATAGTTTGGCAAGAACAAAAATGTAACGGACTACTGAACAATTTTTTGTCAAGAACAGAAAATGTTCATTTAAATACCTGAAATGCCATCATACTGGTAACTTATAAGGTGAAAACATATGGGTAGGTTATGCACACACAAAATAAATACAATTGGAAACATTATATTGAGCCGGGTTAAGACGGGCAATACCTGCTAGTGAAAATATAAATATCAACCATTTTGACTACAGTTTTTCTTTCTTCTTTACCGGTTTGTCATTCGAATCATTCGAGAACTACGTCTAAGTTTTCGTATTCTCACTCCATTCAATTCGTTTTTCTACGTTTCGACTGAGTTGTACGTGTGTATACTCATTCATTCCTTTCAGTTTTCTTTTGCATTCTAATTCACGCATCTCATTTTGAGCATTGTGCATTCGAATGTGGTTTTTTTTGCCATTCATGCAGCTGTCTAATACACACATAAGTGCTTATGTACAAGTTCAACAGCATACATGTACATCAGAATCATGTGTATGCGTGCTTGTATGCAGTAAAGAAATAACGCAAAACAGCAACAACAACAGCAGATGCAGGCAGAGCTGCGGGCAGAGCTTCCGCAGAGATAATATTTATATATATAGCTTTCTTCATAATTGATCTATCATGATGAAACTTGGCATACGGACATATAAGCACTAACTGGATTTCACTACTAAAATTGATTTCGAAGTTCCAAGAGTTACGAAAAAAAAACAGAAATAGCGTGGAAGGGGGGGGGGGGGGGGGAGGGGAGGGGTTGTATCAGAATAAAAAACAAACTTTACCTGCCTAGGGCTTATGGGCAACTGGATACTAAGTTTCGGTAATTATAGCTCTTGTACCTTCTGAGATCTTTGCGCTTATACAGACGGACATGGCTATATCGACTCGGCTTGACACCCTGATCAATAATACATATACATACATATTGCCACGCCTCCTTTAAGTTTCATTAGATAGTGGTAAAGGCGGAACAAATTCAATTTATTTGTTTTAATTTTCATATCTTTTATTCGATTTAATTCGACGTTCTTTACTAAACTTTTCTTTAAGAGCCTGAACTATTTGAAGATGACCTTTTTGAAGAACCTCCACCACCAGCTCAAGAAGGCAAAGTTGTGAACGCTGTCAACGTAGCAGATTATGACGACGACGATGGAGTTGACAATTTTGATAATGCACCATCTCCAGCATCTTCATTGGCTAATTCAGCCGCAAACAACAAATCTGGTAGATTTTAATATATTCGAAATGTTTCATTAAAATTTCAATAATTTTATTTTAAAGATCATGAGGACGCCAACGTGACAGGCAATACAGACTTAAATGAATCTACTCTTATAAATAATGAAGACGAAGGCTTTGCACTAGCACCTATTGATGCAAATGCATACAGAGGGACTACGAAGGCGAAGCGGAAGAGAAAACTAATAATTGATGAAGTCAAGAATATTTCTGGAGAAGAAATGAAAGCCCAATTCGCTGATACATCTGATATATTAACAACACTAGATCTTGCCCCTCCTACAAAAAGGTAGGTGCTAGCAATTTTTCATTGGAGTATAACGACCTCCAGTTGTGCCTGGAATGAATGCTGGGAAAGCTTGGGACTGTCCTATGATTCGCACAACAAATTTGTATTTTCAGAGATATTTGCCATTCTCTGGCCTGTCGCTTAGATATGTCGTGGCTTTGGAATGAGTTTACTTTTAGTGAATTCCTCTGGCCCAAATTTTTTTGCCGACTTGCGTTGAACTGGGTCTCAGAATTAAACATTCAAGAAGCCCTGAGCGCCAAAATGCTGGCGTTATTTGACGGCAAATCCATCACTTTCAGAAGCATATATACAGCTTAACGAAGTCTCAGCAACACTCCCCTGTCGAAGCGGCAGTGCTGTCCGACAACTTAAACTTCTATTAGCCCGCCTACTCATTCTGTTGTACTTCCGACAGAAATATTCAGTCTAGCAACCAACATTGACAAGTCCAACTACCAGTATTCATTTCGTATGAACAGTATTAGTCACGAAAATTCCAATAAAGGTTACACTGATCAGGCAAACTGAAATTATGTCAAGTCGTTTTCCGGTTCTGCTAGAATGTTTTCTGTTAACTACACTGTATTCGCAGATCAGCCGCTGCAGTGAGAGCAAGAGATCACTGCAAACACAGCTAAATTGCGTTAAGCTTTTTAATCTTCAAAGTGAAATGTTGATACAGTAAAAAATAATTAGCGTAGAATGACATAGCCCTCGTTGCGCCAAACAATTTCTAAACAAAATTTGTTTTCGAGACTCGCGTGAAAATATAATTATATTCTTCTTTTTATTTATATATTTAAGGTTGATGTATTGGAAGGAAACAGGTGGCGTTGAAAAGTTGTTTGCCTTGCCATCAAGAACGATACCGTCTCGCTCACTTTTAAATAATTATAACCGACATTTGATATCACACTCGACCCAGATCGAAGACTTTACATGCGTTGCACCACCTGAAGTGTTATCGTTAGAGCAGTATATGAATGAAAGCGAAACTACATTTATTATAAACAAGAAGTGTCGAAAGAGAAAGCATGAGCCATCAACACTTTCCACTTCTGCTCCACCTGCGGATGCTCTGATCCAAAGCTTGGCAGATCCGGAACTTGTCCGGGAACAGGAGAAAACATTAGGCATCACAGCTATATCGTTAGATATAGCTCCAAAAGATCAAGAAGTTTTTGTATCTCAAACTGATACATCAGATTTTGTTAAAATACGAAGTCCTGCAGTCTTTTCATTTAATGAAATGGAAACATTTTCGAATGTGAATGACCTGCCACTTACACCGAGGAATGCACATCACGATGTGGGAGACGATTTTCAACACGGCGATCTAACACCAGTCGGGTTAGATCATGGGCATATGACTCCACATCATTCAGGAATTGGAGATATTGATTCGATTCCTCATTTACCAACCGACCAATTCAGTTCGATTCTCAATGAAGATGAGGCAAGACTAACTACTGGACTATCTTGTTCTAACAAAACTTGTGACATTTCTACAGACTGGAACGATTATGATTTCCCTCCGTCAATCGGAGTTTCGGTAAGTATAATATATAATAGATGTGGTAGAGATATTAACATTTTATTTCCCATTATTGCAAATAATTAAACCAGAATACGGCTGACCAGCAGATGGAAAACGAAACAGATGAACAATTCGAAGAAAGAGTCTTAAATAAAAGAGCAGCACAACTTTTTTATGCAGTTAGATCTCATTTTTCCAACAAAGAAAATTTGACGCTATCTCAACTAACTCTAAGGAATTCCAGGAAACAGGTATATTAAAAATAAACCAATGTTTACTTGAATAGTTTATTCCACTTTAAATCTGGGCTGTTAATAGCAGCTGTTAAGGTATACATACCGCGGCTGTTGTTGATGTTGGTGCTTTGGTTGAATGCAAACATCCTCACACAGACATGAATGGACACGCATAGACATGCATACACTCACATAGACGCAATGGCTATGTAATTGTGCAATTATACAACCTTTTCGTGAGTTCGAATACCAGAGAGGAAAATCGATCAAAATTAATTTTCTTAATTTCTATAATTATTCTAAACATATGTACAAAGAATTTCAAAGTCGGGTCACCCGACTTCTCTACTATCTACTTGTTTTTAAAATATTTTAATCTAATATGATTTTTATGAGTTGAATTTTAGTGCAATGGGCATAATATATAACTTATATATAAGTTTTACAAAAATGATCGAAGAGACCGTGTTTACTACAAACGATACATAGCCTTATTATGTTATATACAGAGGTGGTCAAAAGTATTTACACAACAAACATTTTTTACATATTCTAATATAGGACTTTTTTTTAAATAATATTGTCAGATATTTTGATCTATACAGATTCAAATGGAAGGACATCCAAAAGATAACGATTCATACGACGGAAATATAAGCAAAAGAAATGATGCCTATGAGTCAAAAGTATTTTAATTTGAGTCAAAAGTAATTACACTTCAGTTCAATTATTTATATTGATATGTTTCATTTTATTTCATTTTCTTATGAAATGTACAAGAGTATATTACATAGCCTTATTATGTTATATACAGAGGTGGTCAAAAGTATTTACACAACAAACATTTTTTACATATTCCAATATAGGAGCTTTTTATACTCTGTACATGAAATGTACAAGAGTATATGAGGTTTGCGGGAACTGAAAAATGTAACAGGCAGAAGGAGGCGTGGCAGACCCCACAAAGTATATATATTCTTGATCAGCGTGACAAGACGAGTCGATCTAGCCCTGTCTGTCTGTCTGTCCGTCTGTCCGTCCGTATGAACACCTGGATCTCAGAGACTATAAGAGATAGAGACACCAAATTTTGCACAAAGATGCGTTATGTGTGTATTCTATACGAGTTTGTTTTATTTTTTTGATTTTCCCCCCCACTTCCCCCCTATGGGGGTTTTCCCGATTTTCCATTCGTATAATCGCCTATATCTCGGAGACCATAAGACCTAGGAACACCAAATTTTAGTCCAAGGTGCCTTGTGTAAATACGCAGAAAATGTATATTTTGGAATTTCCCTTCCTCCCCCCTCTCCCCCGAAAATGCGATTTTCTCTAACTCCCGTAATTCTTGGAATTTCGAACTAAAATTTTGCACATACCCCCAGTTAGTAATTATGTGTCCGTATGCCAAGTTTCACTATGATAGACCGATTTACCAAGAAGTTATAGCCATAAATATATTTGCTGCTGCAGCGCTGCTCAAGCGCTGCCCGCGGCTGTTGTTGATGTTGCTGTTTGGTTGACTGCGAAAATGCTTACACAGACACGAATAGATGCGCATAGGCATACATACACTCACACAGACGCAATTGCTATGTAAATGTGCAATTATACACCCTTTACGTGAGTTCGAATACCGAGAAAGGTAAAATCGATCAAATTTTTTTTAATTTTCTTTTTTTTTTCTAGTAAATTTTTTTAATTAGTAAACATATGTACAGAGTATTTCAAAGTCGGGACACCCGACTTTAGCTTTTTTACTTGTTTTAAAAATAATGTTATTGTCAGATATTTTGATCTATACAGATTCAAATGGAAGAACATCCAAAAGATAACGTTTCATACGACAGAAATATAAGCAAAAGAAGAATATGGGGTTTTTTTTTATTTTTATTTTTTAACTTCTCTACTTGTTTTGCTTATATTATGAATTGTTATCTTAATTGTTCTTCTGCCGCATTAATCAAACTATGTGCAAACTTTTTATGGCCTGTACCCAAAGGGTGAAAGTTTTGTGCGCATGTATGTAACACACAGAAGGAGGCGTGGCAGACCCCACAAAGTATATATATTCTTGATCAGGGTGACAAGCCGAGTCGATATAGCCATGTCCGTCCGTCCGTCTGTCCGTCTGTATGAGCGCAAGGATCTTAGAAAGTACCTAGGCAGGTCAAGTTTATTTTTTTATTCTGATATACCCCCACTCCCCCGCAATTCGTGTTTTTTTTTCCATAACTCCCATAGTTTATGGAATTTCGAACTAAAATTAGGTAGCTAGATCCCGTTAGTGATTATGTGTCCGTGTGCCAAGATTCATCATGATAGGTCAATTCTGAAGAAAGTTATAGCCATAAATAAAATCGCTGCTCATGCGCTGTCTGCAGCGCTGCCGGCAGCTTTTGTTGTTGCTGCTGCTTTGGTTCAACTTTATGCTGCATACATACACGCATATAAAGACGCATAGGTACGTGATGTAAATGTATGCTGTTAGAACTGAACATAAACATGTATTCTAATTTAATTTAATTAATTAATTAATTCATTCATTTTTTTTAATAATTTAATTTTTTTTTAATTTATTCTTTTTTTTTAATTTTCCATTTTTGTGGAGAGTACAGGTACGCATAGGTACGTGATGTAAATGTATGCTGTTAGAACTGAACATAAACATGTATTCTAATTTAATTTAATTAATTAATTAATTCATTCATTTTTTTTAATAATTTAATTTTTTTTTAATTTATTCTTTTTTTTTAATTTTCCATTTTTGTGGAGAGTACAGGCTATTTGACTGTCGGGCTTGCTCGACTGCAGCGTTCTCTCTTGTTTTTTTTCGAAACTAACTTCCAACGACCACAAAAAAGGTCGTATGGAATATGTAAAAAAATGTCCCTTGTGTAAATACTTATGACCACCTCTCTATATATTTTCAATTGAGAAAGGTGACCAATGTACCGCTTTTAAATCTAAAAATCAGTTGCCCTGAATATCACTATCATCCTACATACATAATATATGTACGTATGGAACATACTTATTATATATACGTATGGAACATGTACATATATGTACATATGTATGTATGAACATACATACTTTATGTTCGTATGTACGTAAAAACATACATAGTATGTGTACATATGTACATACGTATAAATAAATGCATACATAGTATTTATTGCACTTTGCACTTGCCCAAGCTTGTTATTTGGTAGTTCCTTTAGTGACTTTTCTGGAAATGAGCGCAATGTCTGAAGAGAAACAGCATATAGTAAATGTTGTTTTAAGCAATCATACTTAGCCTAGCAAAGACGGGCAAGGCCTGTTAGTTATATATAATGAAACAAAAATGATGACATATTTTTTTTCCTTTTGTTTCAGGCCGCACAAAAATTTTATTCCCTTCTTGTACTCAAAAAATTTAAAGCATTACATATTACGCAACTTGTTCCTTATGCAGATATTACAATTATTCGGGGTCCTATGTTTGAAGCTCCTAAATTGTAATAGATCAAATTCTTTGGAACTCTTATCATCAAAGAATTAAAATACATATAGTTTACAGTCTAGTGGGCTTTAAATTCATCGACAACAAAAAAAAGAGTCAATAACTTTTATGTGTGTCGGAAGTTTGTAAATTGCGCATATTTGATGTTGTAGAATTATTAAATAAAATACATTTGTAATATATTTTTGAAATTGTTTTTATTCTATACGAATTCGCCCGTTAGTATAGTCATTTAGCGAAATCGCGAGACTGTTGGCTGGTTCGTACCCACTTTTGGGCCGGATTAGTATCGCTGTAGTCATCGGCGCGTGCTCTACAACGTGGCGCGTGCTCTGCCGTGACAGTTCGTCGGCCACCACGTTCAGGGCGTCCTTGCGATACTGAACGTCGAACGTGTACTTCTGCATCTCAAGCGCCCAGATTGCAATGCGACCCGGCTCGATGAAATTTAGCCAGCCCAATGTAATTGAACTCGGTTTTCTGCAGTTACCGACTGGCGTAGATGATACTTGCCCGCCTATGTTATCGTAAGCATCCCTCCCAGCCTGTATTCGTTCGCGCCTGTCTACAGGCAGTAGCGTCGCTAGATGGCTTCAAATGCCTCCTGTTCCAGATCCGTCGGCGGGATGACAATTGTTGCAGAGTTCGGCACGAACCACCGAAACCACGAAGCCATTCCAACGTACTGTCGCCACCTTCTCTGCATCTGTCTGGACGCTCTTCACTGTTACCAGGTTCCTCATATAACGTATGGACTTGTGGGAAAATTGACACTTATCCTGATTCATCCTCATGTTAGCCAAACGCAGACACTAGAGCACGTCCCGCACGTTACTCTAATATCCGCCGTAGTCCACCCTCAACAACCACTTGCACAAGGCGAAGGCATTGGACTGCTGCAGCATTCGTTTGCCCACCTTAGTTTGCCGCATTCTCAGCAGTGAAGTTGCTGGGGGTTTGGACACGTCTCAGCTCCAGGTCCTGCCATTCCTCACCGCCTGCAGGGCAGTCCTCGACGCGCCAGCATATCTTGCGGGCAATCGTGGAAAAACGTTTTGGTTCTGCTCTTAGCGATTTTGGCTGCGAGGTCTGTGGATGTTTGGACAATTCAATGTACAATTCATCCATCAAAGCTCTTGTTGCTTATTCGGCGTTCGACGCTGTTAGAAGTCCATATTTTTTTTTAATTTTTTGGTCGAGAATGGTGGCGATAGCGGTAATTGTTCGCGATTCCTACGGTAAAAGCCGTTGCAGACAAACGCTCTTTCACGAAGTATAAGGCAACGACAAATCCAAACCCATGCGCTGCCTGCAGCTCTGCCCGCAGCGCTGCCAGCAGCTGTTGTTGTTGCTGCTTTGGTTCAACTTTGTGCTGCATACATACACGCATATAAAGACACAGAGACACGATTCTGATGTAAATGTATGCTGATGAAACTGTATTTAATTTAATTAAATAATTTAATTAATAATTTTTTTTTTACAATTAAAATTCATCAAATTTTTTTCATTTTTTTAATTTCTATAATTATTCTAAACATGTACAGAGTATTTCAAAGTCGGGACACCCGACTTTAGCGTTTTTACTTGCTATACTCTATACGTGAAATGTACAGGAATATATTAGGTTTGCGCGAGCTGAAAAATGTAACAGGCAGAAGGAGACGTGGCAGACCCCACAAAGTACTATATATATTCTTGGTCAGCATGACGAGACGAGTAGATCAGCGCTGTCTGTCCGTATGAAAACCTGAACACCACAAAAGTATATATATTATTGATCAGCATGACAAGGCGAGTCGACCTGTCTGTCCGTATGAACACCTGGATCTCAGACTCTATAAGAGTTAGGGACACCAAATTTTACAAAAAGATGCCGTATGTGTGTACGCTGTGCACGTTTGTTTTATTTTTTTTTTTCACTTTCCCCCTATGGGGCTTTTCCCGATTTTCCATTCGTATAATCGCCTATATCTCGGAGAGTATAAGTGCTAGGGACATCCAATTTTAGTCCCAGGTCCTTTTTAAAATACACAGAAAATGTGTATTGGGGAATTTCCCTGCCTCCCCCTCTCCACCGCAATCTCTGATTTTCCATAACTCCCGTATTTCTTAGAAATTTTCATCGGAAAATTTTCAATTCGGAAAATACTTCCAGCTAGTGATTATGAGTCCGTATTCCTAGTTTGATAGGCCGATTTAACAGAAAGTTATAGCCATATATGTTTATATGACCAAACAGTGGCCGCAGCTGTTGTTGCTGCTTTGTAGAGGCACACATACCCCCATAATTATTCTTCACATAATTATTGACAGAGTATTTCAAAGTCGGGACACCCGACTTTAGCTCCTCTAGTTGTTTATTAATTACATCGAACAAAAAATTGAATGATCAATTTCGTATGATTTAATTCGATTTTTGAATTTGTCAATTTAATATAACTGCAAATCCATCATCAATTTCCTGTTGGAATTGAATCAATTCTGGCAACTCTAACAAATACAATGGTAGCAATAAAACAAAAGATGCAGGAAATTATACGCAATCAAAATCTCCTCCTGGAATTACTAATCAAACAGAAATCTACTTAAATGGTTTCTCTAAAAATATGTTTCCGGAATACGAATGGCATTTCACAGCGAAAATGCGAGCTCTTGCAGTTCCTCAATTGGTGCCATTGACGGCACGCTCATATCAGAGACTCAACTAACAAGTAAAAATTATTTCCATTCCAATGGCTATGCGACAAATCATTCCGATGGTAAGGATCATGGAGGTACTGGCATTCCGATAAAGCGTCGCATCAGGCACTATCCGTTGCCATCATTTGCTACAACTCATCTACAGGCCACAACCATTCATATCGAAATATAAAGCGGCTATTTAAGCCTCCCCTACCTGAGACAGAATTTATACCTTTCTTCGGCCTACTAGGTGATCGCTTTATAGCAGATGGTGACTACAATGCCAAACACAAACATTGGGGATCCCGACGCATCAACCCGAAAGGAACACAACTATAGACCGCTGTAATAACACCATGAAACATGCTTGACTTTATTTGTCCGGGCTGGCATAGAAGGTGTTTTCAAAAGTAAACAGGACTTTTAAAAAAAAAAACAGAACAAATGATTTTTTCGGCAAAATCAATATCAGGTGAATACGGCGAGTGGTTGATGGTTAAAATGTGATTTTTGGTCAAATAATCGGTCACAAGTGTCGATCGATGAGACGGCGCATTATCGTGTAACAAACGCCACCTTTCATCTTCGCGATATTCGGGCCGAACGCGTCCAATACGGCGCACCAAACGCTTCAAAACTCCAAGGTAGAATACCGCATTAACGTTTTGACCGGGTGGAACAAATTCTTTGTGCACTCTGGCGTTTCGTTTCGGGATCATATTGGAAACACCACGTTTCGTCACCAGTCACAATATTGTAAGGGAAGTTTTTATCCTTTTTGACCTCTTTAATGATGTCCTTCGAATTGGATTCTGAGCAATTTTTGGTCGTCAGTCAATTTGTGCGGAACAAACCGTGCACACACCTTTCGTAAGCCCAAATGTTCGGTCAAAATGCGATAAATCGATGTTTTGGAGATGTTCCAAAACGATTAAGATAGCAGAGTCTAACGACATATAGATAGCGCCACCAGGGGGCGCTAGATTCAAAAAGTCCTGTTTACTTTGGAAAGCTCCTTGTACATATTGGCCCACAGATCCAAAGAAGCAACCAGACGTGATTGATTTTGCTGTCACAAGAAGAGTGCCACAGGCTTAGATTTGTGTGGAGCACTTAAGAGATCTATCATCGGATCACTTCTTAAACTTTATGACCACCCACAGTACTCGCAGCGCCCACACTAACTGACTTCTAGAAAAACAGATTGGCTTAAATATAGGAAGTACGTAAGTTCCCATATTGATGACTGCCCAAACATTAACTGTAAAGATGACATAGATAGCTCAGTCATGTTTAATGTCACTAGCGGAAAAACATTCCACTCCAGAAATCACAGCTTATAAACTTTACAAACGCAGTCGTGTTCCCATGCATCTTGAAGAGCTGCTACGAAATAAGAGAAGGCTTCAGCGGGAGTGGCAAGCGCACAGATCAACTCTCTCCAAACAGCAAACGATTCCCATTGTGGAAAGCTAAATCAGGCGTATATCCACCAATCGAGAGTGAATCACCATTACGTACACAAAGGGAAGTAGGCTCGCAGCAACGAAGAGAAGGCCAATCTATTTGCTGCCCATTTAGAAAAAGTCTTCAAACCACATCCAGCAACAAATAGCTTTGTGCTCCCACTAACCAATCATCTTGAAGCTACCACGCCTATCGTATTTCAAGTTGGAGAAGTTACAAGTGTCATTAAGGACCAAGTTTCAAAGCAAAAGAAAAGCGCCGGGCCACGATTTAATGTCCCCCAAAGTGATCATCGAATTGCCGAGCTGTGCAGTGTATCTTCTCACCATTATTTTCAACAGCATGATGAAATGGGGCTATTTTCCTCAACAATGGAGAAAATCGGTCATCAAAATGATCCATAAAGCTGGAAAGGACAAGTCTCAGCCATCATCATATAGACCTATCAGTCTCCTGCCGTGTCTATCAAAGATATTCGAAAAACTGATCCTGAATCGCATCAAACAGCACCTACACACCAACAGTGCAATCCCATTGCACCAATTTGGTTTTCGAGAAAAACATGGAACCGTTGAACAAGTCAACCGAATAACCTCTGAGATACGAAATGCATTTGAAAAACGAGAGTATTGCTCCGCTGTTTTTCTGGATGTCGCCCAAGCCTTCGACCGCGTTTGGCTGGGTGGCTTAATTCACAAAATCAAAATATTACTTCCACAGAACATCCACAAAATACTGGAGTCATACCTACAGCAAAGAAGTTTCGCAGTTAGATGCAAAGATTTCCTCTCCGAATACCATCCAATTGAAGCTGGCGTACCCCAAGGGAGCGTGCTTGGACCAACACTGTATATTATATACACAGCAGATATACCGACAAACAGTCGTACAACAATTTCGACATTTGCTGATGATACTTCCATCCTAAGTCGCTCCAAGTGCCCAAAAAGAGCTACAGAACTTTTATCATCTCACCTCGTGGCCATACAAGAATGGCTAGCAGACTGGCGCATACATGTAAACGAGCAAA